TTTTCCTAAATCTGGAACATATAGAACGTCAACCAATCTTCTTGGTTCATACTTCTTCTTAGGCTTAATGTCAACGTGTACATTTCCTTTTTCCAGTGCTTGAACTATTCTGTCATCTCCTAGCTTTACCTTTTCAGGGGATTTGAATGGGATGAAATCAACCATGATGTCCTTATTATATGACATATGAGATGATGCACCTGAATCAATGTCCCATGCAGATTCTTTGCTATCCGTAAACAATGATGAATTATGAACTGTGGCTCCGTAGGATGCTTCTTCCCTTTTATTTCTATTGTCACTTTGCCGATTCTGTTTGGGTTTGCGACATTCTCGAGCCCAATGTCCAGGTAACCCGCAGTTGTGGCATTTACCTTTTCTTTTGAATTTGGTATTCTTTATTTTGTCGTTTTTGGATTTTTGACATAGTAGTGCTTTCTCACCAATATCTTTACTTTCGTTGGATCCTTTACGTTTCTGTTCTTCATGAAGAAGTCTTGCAGTAACGAATTCTAATGATAAGTCATCTGCTCTAGATTCCAATGCTGTTATTAAGCCTCTGTACGAATCAGGTAAACTACAAAGGAGTGTCGCCACTTGATCTCCTCGGAAACAGACGCACCCAATGCTTCTAATTGACTTGCAATATCCTTCATCTTGTTGAGATGTTCGGTCATGGAATCATCAGGACTCATACTTGTAGTGAAATATTTCTTTCGCAAGAATAACTTAGTTGCCAAAGATTTGACTTCATAATGACTTTCTAATTTCGCACAAGCATCTTTCGCAGTACGCGCTGATCGAACGAGAGATAGCTGTTCATCGCCGAGAGACAAACATATTGTTGCAAATACCCTCCTTTCCCGCCTTTGATGTTGTCGACGTTGAGTATCAGTAGTTCCTTCACCATTAGGTTCTACCTCATCGCCGATAACTATTTGCCAGAGATCCTTCTCTTCAAGTATCATCTGCATCTTAAACTTCCAAAAGTGAAAGTTTTGGCCGTTGAAATTTTCGATCCGTGTAAATGCTTCGTCATTTCCCGAAGTCGCCATATTCAATATTTCGCACTTATGTAAGCTATATTCTCATGAAATCGCGATATCTCATATACTTTCCCTATTCGCCGTCATCAACAGAAACTCAAACGCTCCTGGGCCCATAACCTGTTAAATTATTCGAGATTCGGCACTAACGTTCGGATAATATGTGAAGTATTATGATTTTTATTGTGGAACAAAATAACAAGTTACGTATAAGCTAACAACGATATTACAATAACAAGTTCTGAATGTCACTTCATCTGACATGTGTCATCTCTACTTAATTATGTTTTTCGCGTGATGTTTATATCTTTTCTCAGTTCTCGTTTCTTGTGAAGTTTTGGTAAGCTATAGAAGCGTGAGGATTGAGAACCTCTGGGAAGATATCATTTTAAACTTTGTTATTAATCGAGTCTTTCTTTAGAAGCTTCCTTAACAGTCGTTGCAGTTTGGCTTCACATGATAATGACGACTTCTTTGAGTGGGGTAAACTTTGCTGTATTGTTAATGATTTTAAGGCAGGAGTTACGATACATTTGACGATCCATGATTACAACGCCGTTGCCTCTGTCCGGTTTGAGAATGACAATGTTTGGATTGTTGCGAATTTTTTTAAGGATGTGATGTTTTTTGAAGTCAGCCGGTGTCGAGTGATAAGATGAGATGTACGAGTGAGCGATGCGTGCCAGCTCTGTTTTGAGTCTTCTTGATTGCGAATGTTAGTTTTATAGTTTGTTGGATTTTTTCGAATGTTGCCAGAATGTCGGTTTAGTTGAGTCGTAGTGGTTTAATGCTGAACCCAAGGCCATTTTTCAGGAGTTCTAAGTTCTTCGTCTGTTAATTGGTGAGATGATAGGTTGGTTATCGTCTCGTTGTGTGTGAATTGTAGAGTTCTGTTCCCCGTGAGATTACTTACTTTTTTCCGATGTGTGGTAATTGTCTTTTGTAGGTATTTGGTTATGTTTTTTCCAGAGCTTTGTCATAGTTTAAACAAGTGTTTAAATTCAATACAATATTTAGTTTATAATACGCTCGGACGCTCCCCATTAATTTATCTTATTTCCTTTTTATTGTTGTAATTTATGTATCATATTACATTTATATAAACCTTGTATCACTTATTATTTTACTCATACTGAAGATACTCATTTCGGCATCATGAGATGTCGAAACATGTCTATTTTAAAAAAACTTGTCGTATATATTAAATGCGCATTAGCAATAGTGCTTTTATAAAATTATGGAAACATTATTTACGACATAGCACAAAAATACGAAGGAAAGGTTTCCTTATCAGAATTGCGGAAGTTTGAAAAGCTTCAAACAAACAAAGGAAAGCAGAACTAGATGTTATGTTATGTTTCTCAAAGATTGTCTGTCCCTCGGCGTTTATCTAAAGTTTCTCGGCTTTCCACTACCAAATGTCAACAACCAAGATAGCTTTGCGATATGCAACCGATTATTACGCAGCGCAATCAAAAAGCGAACAAAGGAAGAACGAAAGTTATCGAATGAAGTAACGAAATTATAAGAAAGTTTAAAGAATAATCTATCCTCTCTCGACTGGAATATTTTAAACAAAGCTCTGGAAAAAACATAACCAAATACCTACAAAAGACAATCACCACACATCGGAAAAAACTAAGTAATCTCACGAAGAACTCTACCATTCACACACAACGAGACGATAACCAATCTATCATCACACCAATTAAAAACGAAGAACAAGAACTCCCGAAAAATGGCCTTGGGTTCAGCATTAAACCACTACGACTCAACTAAACCGACATTCTGGCAACATTCGAAAAAATCCAACAAACTATAAAACATAACATTCGCAATCAAGAAGACTACACGCATCTCAAAACAGAAAAGGCACACATCGCTCACTCGTACATCTCATCTTATCACCCGACACCAGCTGACTTCAAAAAACATCACATGCTTAAAAACATTCGCAACAATCCAAACATTATCATTGTCAAACCGGACGAAGGCAACGGCGTTGTAATCATGGATCGTCAAATGTATCGTAACTTCTGCCTTAAAATCATTAACAATACAGCAAAGTTTACCCCACTCAAAGAAGACGTCACATTATCATGTGAAGCCAAACTGCAACGACTGTTAAGGAAGCTTCTAAAGAAAGACTCTATTAGCAACAAAGTTTATAATGATATCTTCCCAGAGGTTCTCAACCCTCACGCTTCTATGGCTTACCGAAACTTCACAAGAAACGAGAACCAGAACAATCGCCTCCACTACGACCGATAGTTTCATCAATTAACTCGTACAATTACAATTTAGCTAAGTATCTTAGTTCTCTACTAACACCACTCATACCAGATGACCACTCCACTAAAAATTCTTTCACTTTCCTTTCACAGACCTCACACAACTGTTTTTAAAAGCAACAGCACAGACGCATTTTTTAGGTAATGGAAAATTTTATGACCAGACGGACGGTGTTGCGATGGGCTCTCCCTTAGCACCCATATTTGCTAACATTTTCATGGGCTCTCATGAACGAAACTGGCTAAACAATTACAACGACACTAAACCACTATTTTAGCGCAGAGACGTTGACAATATTTTTTGTGTTTTCACTAACGAAACTGATGCCACAAAGTCTTATAATTACATTAACACACAGCATCCAAACATTAGATTTTCATTTGAAACTGAATAACAAGATCAACTGCCATTTCTTGACATTTTACTAACAAAATCCCAAGACAGCTGTACAACATCCACATATCACAAACCAACATACACAGGACTTCTGATGAACTATTTTAGTTTAACACCACTTTCATACAAAACCCGACTTATACGCACACTAATTGACAGAGCACACAAACTTAACAATACGAACAATGGCTTTCAACGAGACATAAAAAACATCACATCCACTCTTTTACCAAACTCTTTCCCACTACACTTTATTAACAGAACCGTAAAACGATATCTCGACAACAAACAAAGCAACAACCTCAAACTAGACACCGAAACTCCTGACACGACGATCACGACCAACACAAATGAAAGTTCCAAAATAACAACTCTATACTTCAAACTACCATACATCGGACATTACTCACGACACACACAACGCAGACTTACAAACATTATGAAACGCTTCTGTACAGATATTAACATTCCACTAATTTTTACATCATTCAAAATCAAAAACCTTTTCTCATTCAAAGACCCAATCCCTGATTCAATTAAATCTATGGTGGTATATGAATTCAATTGCGCGCGATGTAATTCCCGATACATTGGCAAAACTTCGCGCCATTTATCCACAAGAATCATCGAACATACCACAACAGACAAAAACTCTCATATCTACCCCCACCTTCTTAAATCTCACTCATGTAAAACGAACTATTCACCCTCTTGCTTCAAAATCATCGACACTACCGACACCTCATTCATCCTTAAAATGAAAGAAGCACTTCACATTAACAAAACTAACCCTGACCTCAATGTTCAAGTTTTTAAATTCAATACAATATTTAGTTTAAAATACGCTCGGACGCTCCCCATTAATTTATCTTATTTCCTTTTTATTGTTGTAATTTATGTATCATATTACTTTTATATAAACCTTGTACCACTTATTATTTCACTCATACTGAAGATGGCATCATGAGATGTCAAAACATGTCTATTTTAAGAAAACTTGTCGTGTATATTAATGTGATAGGTCTGGTAATGAGATAAGAATTAGCAGCGTCATGCCGAAGCTGATAAGTAGGCTAAAAGCTCATCACGTCTCGACACATTCTTTAAAATACAGATTTTTTGCTCGTTTATTTTCGATTTGTCTTTTCATATAACGGAGTATAAATCGAAAATGGGTATAAATCAAAAATTCGAAATACAAAAACAATATACATTTTGCATTAATTTGTTTAGTATTTTGTTCATAGTAGCAAGATAAGTAATTACCTCTTCAATGTCATTAATTTGATAAGTCTCGTACAATTCACCATCATTGCTGTATGAAACTGAATACTCAGTCACCCATTCATCGGCTGCCTTACAGCCTTGGGTTGCAATTCCCGACAAAACGTTCTTCTTACAAAGGTCTATTTGAATCCATTGCCGTTTATTATCCACATCAGATGACCAAGCTGAATTGGTATTCAATCTTGCACCATGTGGTGGAAAATCTTTCTTGAAACTGGACGATGTTATCCTGTAATCAAATATTCTTCCAATTTCCATTCCAAGGGCATCATCTACACGTTTGCTATCTGCAAAAACAACGCGTGTAAAAACAATTGAGTGCAAGACAGAGTTGAAACTGCCTGGTATGATGCATGTATACCAAAATATCATTGCTTTTATTGTTCATTTTATCGTCCGAAAATCAATACTCTCAAGGTACAGATGCTAAGACCAAAGCCACATTGTAGCTATATAGTATTAGGATAAATGATCTATTATATATACACGGTATAACCTCATTTTTAATTGAAACAAAACAGACAGCGGTTAAGTATAATCTATTTAAATAATAACCAGAAGAATTTGAGCAATCTCATTGGTCGAGGGCTATGATCTATAAGAGGAAAAACGCACGGAATTGAAGTCAATCACAGAAAATTTCTTGTTTTTTTAATGACAAACGAGCTGCGAATTTATTTGAATAGTTACCTGAATTTATCCCTAAATGGGCAAATAAAGAAATTAAGAATGCCTAGTTGAAGCAGTGGACGTATTTGTGCAAAAAGAATTTTCATGCATTGATCTGTACTTCGTCTACAATAACAAAATTTCGTATCTATACAGTTATGGATACACGGGTAAGACGTCATTTGTGATAAAAACTTAAAGTGACCACTCGTCCCAGCAGCTCGTGGTCACTCTGTTTTTATCACAATAGACATCATATCCGTGTATCCATAACTGTATAGACAACGGTTAAATATTATATTAAATATTCAAGGTAAATTCAGGTAGCGAAATATTCAACCAACTTCGCCGTTTGTTTGAAATTTGAAAGCAATGCGTCTTCTAATACGCCATTTGCGTGCGTCCGTCGTTTTATATAGATAATGGTTGTCGACCAATAAGATTGCCAGGTTTCTTTACGTTATTTTTATAAGTAAACGCATGCTTTCAGGGATATTAGTAAATGTCCTGCAAACCAAGGCAGCTTTAGGTTTAGATCTTCTTTTTGGAAATAATGTCCTAAAGTCAACAAAAAATCACCTTTTCGTTTCTTCCAAATATATATCAAAGCAGCGACAATAACACCTGCTAAAATAGCAGCGATTACAAAAGCAGCCGTCGCCCATTTAGGTGTAGGTTTTTTTATCAAAGGTGCAGTCGAAGTAAAAGCTAAAATTAAAAGTAATTACAGCAACAATTAACCATTCAGTCTCACGTTTCTGCGACTGCATGAATAGAGTCAACAAGGAAAATGTGTCATCTATCTATTCGTTTAATGTGACTGGGGCCGGTTGTACGAAAAGCGTTTAAGTCGTTAACCACCGTTTAAATCGACCACCACCGTATAAATTTTCAACACTAGAAAAACTGCGTTGTACGAAGCCCATTTATCTCCATCCACCGGTCAAATTTTGCCTATCCACCGAATTAATTTAAACGGTCTCATGAGACCGTGTAAGTCGCTAAACGGGAGGATAAAGTGTTCTTGTCTTGTAGTCTTTTTCTCATATGGTTTTCAGATTACATGCATGGCATTCATTTCCTCGCTCTCCAAAAAGTTGCTAAGTGTAAACTATGGAGTTTGGAAGGGGACAAAATTAAATAACAAATATTAAAGGCGTTTCATATCCTCGCATCGATGTTTCATGTTTTCGCCACGATTTTTTAATCTTTGACTCGTGCTAAGCCGAGTTCTTTTCGTCGACTCGTGTTTCAATTCGTCGACTTGAACGATGACTTGTACCTTACGGTATGCAAATGCCAGCGGTTATTTTTTGACGATGCTACGTGATTTGGAGAGTTTGGATGCATATATAATTATGACATCTCGAACAAAACAATAAGTCGGAAAATCAAAGAATTTGGTTTGAGAGAAGAGGTCCCCAAATACACTGATATTCCAAACGATGACCTTAATAAAATGGTTTCAGAAATCTATAGAGAATTTCCTAATTGTGGCATTCGTAGAATGAAGGGATTTCTTATGGCAAGAGGTGTAAAATTGCAATGGGAAAGAGTGAGATCATCTCTGTGGAGAATTGACCCAGATGGCATTTTATTATAATCAATGTCTAGTTAACCGAAGGAAGTACTTTATTCCTGGGCCATTGTTCTTACGGCACCTGGATGGCAACCATAATTTAATAAGATGGTGGTTTGTTTTTCATGGGTGCATTGATGGCTACTAAAGGCGTATTATGTATTTAAAAGCAAATACAAACAATAAAGCCAGTACTGTGTATAAACTTTTTATTGAAGCTGTTAGTAACTTTGGCCTCCCAGAAAGAGTTAGGGGTGATCAAGGTGTAGAAAATATTGATGTTGCGTGGTACATGCTCTCCAATCCAGATAGGGACCCTAATCGTTGTAGTTTTATTGCCGATAAAAGCTGCCACAATCAACAGATTGAGAGCTATTGAAAGCTCTTTCATGGTTTTTATTTATTTTTTATTATGTCTTTTGGTGCCTTGAGGAAAATAGTCATTTGGAGCTGGATAATGAGTTACATATTTTTTGTTTACACTATGTTTTTGTTCCCAGAATTAATTGGCATCTTGATCTTTTCAGAAATGGCTATGATAATTACCCATTACAAACTGAATCCAACATTACTCCAAATCAGATTTGGGTGTATGGTTTGAGTCAACCTAATATTAACCACAACCTAATGTTCGAACAAACCAACATAAACATGTATGGTGTAGATTTTGAGGGACCTTTACCTTCTCAAACATACAGAGGTGAAATATCTTCTGAAAGCTAGGTACAGCCTGCCCATTAAATGACCGACAATTGGAAAGTTTTCGGAATATTGTTGATCCTTCGGCGTTATCATCATTACATGGACTAGACATATATTTGAACACAATAAATTTTATTCAGAATATTCTCCAATCACAAACTGGCAATAATCATCCCAACTGTTAAACTCAGAATTGATCATCTTAATTAAACAAAAAATGTTAGCTATAGAAATTTAAGTTTTGTGACATTAATTTTAAACAGCAGACAAACATTTGAAAGTAATTGTTTACTAACAATACAATGAACAAGGCATTAAAAGTCTGGGGCCGGTTGCACAAAACCTAGATAAAGTTATCTGTTGAAAAAGATTACTATATTTTCATAAGTTCTGTTAACCAGCTTTGTGAAGAAGTGCATGGCCTATTATAATCTTCAAGTTCATGCTTTTTCTAATTTCTGATTGGCTTGGAATATTCAGCTCTGTAACTTCATCATCAACTTCTCTGCCATCTTCTTTTGAAATAGCCTCATCTTCAGTAGTCTCACTTTAAATTAATATAGAGCAACAATGTTTGGAATTGTGACGCAAAGCAAATATTGGAAGTTTTTCATTGCATCTTGTACATACAGTCAAAGGGATAGTTGGACTGATGGGCACTGGAGCTGTTTCAACAGGCAATTGCTCTTTAATTGGGCAGATGTAAATTTTGTATTGAAACCAACTATATCCTTAATGTATGGGACACTGTATCCATCAGATGGGATAGGAATAAGGCAAAGAGGCCGTGAATATCCACCACCTTCTCCACGCATAAGTTCATACGCCCCATCTTGTGATTTCAATTTAGGCAATTCAGTTTCAATGACTGACTTCAATATGACAAATCCTGCATTCTTGTCTAGAAAAATAATTCGTTTTTTCCCCAAACCAGCTTTTTTTATGTAGATAGTCGTTGTAAACGTGGAGTTCTGCTATGATTACTTTCAGCTAAAAGGCAAAAGTCATGGGTCCAAGATTTTTTTTGATAAATGACTACTAGATTTTGCCTTTTAGCAGGTCAAAGGTTAAGGTGTTGCCGCAGACCCCCACCACCGAGACTGGGAAAGCTTTGCTAAAAGAAAGCAAGATACTATGCACAAATGAGATGACAAAATACATTTGATAAAAAAATACATTCGCCTTTGAAGACAAAGATTTTTAGCATTTATGTTCCAGAAAGTTTATAAATTTTGTCAGCCTTGAAATACAATACTTTTAAAAGTAATAAATGAAGTTGTATGTGTACCATACATATCTAGTGCTTTTCCTGTTTTATTGCAGTGGTGGTGTAACTAGGCTTGATGATTTGGAGGGGGGCAGTATTCATTTAAGCATGCTATCATCTGCAAAAGAAAATTGATTTCAAATGAATTTAATACAGCAGAACATGAACATGCAAATATTGCATTCACCCCCACCTATCCAGCTGGGTATGCCACTGTTTTACTGTGGGCTTTGCCACTACCACCAAAGCCAATTGTCCAAACTAGCAATATTTCTCATGCAAATTGTCTGTTATTCTTTGTTAGGTCATTCAATAGAAATAATAAGTTGTTATTATTAATAACCACTTACCTAAAATCGCGTTGTACAGCTTCATTAAAACTTTCTCGAGAATGCGACGATGTTGATGCTACTGCAAGCGCTCCATTGATTTTGGAAGTATTTGTTATGCTTGCTGTTGAAGGGCAATGATTCTGAATCCGTTCAAATGCCTCTTTTAATACAGACACAACGCGAACAACTGGATTTTCCGCTATTTTGTTCGAGTTGTCATAATTTTATATGCATCCAAACTCTCCAAATCACGAAGTATCGTCAAAAAATAACCGCTTGCATTTGCATACCGTAAGGTTCAAGTCATCGTTCAATTCGACGAATTAAAACACGAGTCGAAGAAAAGAACTCGGCTTTGCACGAGTCAATGATTAAAAAATCGTGGCGAAGACATGAAACATCGATGCGAAGATATAAAACTCCTTTAAGATTTGTTATTTAATTTTGTCCCCTTCCTAACTCCATAGTAAACTAATACCGTCCAATGACAAGCGGACTTTATAAGGGATACTTCGTGTATATATAGCATATTAGATGTATTGAAATTTCTTCTTAATAACATGTCCTCTATTTGAACGGTGTGTGTGATCATCACTGAAAGAATCTTAAGCAATCCTCCATCTATTTACATATGGCGACCTCAACAAAAGTAAATAGACCGGCTGATATAATTCATAGACGTGAAATACGATGTGAAATAGACAACCGGCGTTTCAACGTACTACAGTGATAACGAGTAACGAGTTGCATGAACCTTGTCGTTTCAGTCAAAAGACTACCGGCTATACATAACAGGTCTTGTCAAAAACCATGTCCAACCAAAAAGAGTAGAGTAAAAAAAACAATTGATCGGCGTCCTGTAAGACTTGTATGAAACTTTGAATCGTTTTTTGTATTTAAAATGAAGATATCATGTCTTTTCGGGTGTTTCTTTACACCATGTAGCATGAAAAACGAAGAAAGTCCATTAAATCGCAGACAGCCAGCATCTCGGACAAAATAAGCCTTCATAACGCTACAATTTGTTGTACCCGAAAGCTTTCACTAAGTAAACAAATTTACTGACTGTATCAAATATGCTAAAAGTATATTTAGGCCTGTTTATATGGAGCCGAGTTACCCGGCTGAGTGAGTTACTCGCTCAACCGAGTTTGACAAAGTGATCTGCTTATATGGCACCGGGTAACTCGGCTAGTACTTCAGTTCATTTGTCTTAAATGAAGTTTTGCCGAGCTATCCGGCCCTTATATAAAATGAATGCATTTCCCGGTGAATCGTTTATATGACACATCATAGTAACTCGCCTTGCCGGGAACTCGGTTTGTGTAAGCGAGTTACCCGGCTAGGCGGTATGAATTTTTCCATATAAACGCATTTGCCGGGTAACTCGGCGAGGCGAGAAAATTTGGCTCTGTTGGTACGCATGCGTACTAAGCCTTGTACTTACAGCATTATTATACAAAAACATACACATATCATAATTTTCAATTTTATATTCGCCTATTCCATTTTTGCTGTGAGGCTTTTTAAAATCTCGCGCGCCTTTACCATTGAGTTCTATAATAACTGGAGGGGAAACGTCAACAAAATTAGTATAAATTATTAGCGCGCGGCCGCGTGGTCAAAAACATGGCGGATTTTGGTTGTCAAAGTCAGCGGAAAGACGGGGGCTCATAAAATGAAATTTTTTTCGCCCACCCGGATTTGACAACCACAATAGCGATTATATAAAATATCAATGCCAAGCACAAAAACTTTTAGAAATTTTATCTTTAAAACATGCTGCAAACTTGTTTGGTAGACGAATGCTAAAGTAATGCCAGAAAAG